TCTCTCTGTAGAGGGCAAAGATGGGAAGAAATATGCAATAAAAATCTCTGTAACTGAAAATTAATTTACCTTTCACATAGTACTTGAAGTGTAAGGCATAAACTTTTCAGCAGTGCTTCCTCTATGATTATTGGTTCTGCAAGAGCAGTTACCATGAATGAATGCCATAGGTAGTGACTGTTCCCACCTCTCTCTCCCAGTTTTAATTTGGCATTCTAGGAGTGTGGCACATAGATCTGCGTATATGATCCCATGGTAATACAACACGTTTTAATGCATCATTTAAAGGACTCTTCATTATTTTTGCTCCTGGTTTTATGGTTTCTTAGATTTGTGACACCCAGCTTAATTCTGAGTTGGCTTTTACTATTGTAATTAATTAATGTCTATATAAGACTCTTACAATGCAAAATGACATGGGATTCTGAGACCTGAAATGGCTAGTGTGGAAAAACTTCTGATGGGTGTGTTGCTGAAGGACAGAATGTATGTATTTACTTTCTGACCTATCACATAAATGCTGTCAGAATTTTGCTCTTAATTTGATTTGTGGCATTCCATTAACAGTTTTTCTGTGTACAGGAGAATAATAACTAATGATTCCCAGACTCCCAGAATTGTAAAGTAAGGGCAGGCTCTGTTTGGCAGAACAGAGGTTGTACTTTAATACAGACAGGAACTGTTCATATTAATCAAGTGATATCTTGTCTGAAATGACTTTTAGCTAATAACTCTTATTCTCAAGTTAACCATATTGGTTATAGGCAGCATGTTCATCTAATTCAAGTGATTATTAATAATCAAAGGGTAAGTGTGTGGATTTCTGTCTTTTTCTGAAAGAGAAATGATGCTCTCGATTGACCTTATTTTAAGACATTGTTAGTGTTGAAATTATGATAGGGGTTGGAAGGGGAGTGGAGAAAGTTCATGGATTTGCCTTTTGATTTCAGCCTTTACAAAGGTGGGCATGTGTGACATGAATGACCTCAAAAATGTGAATGTAATTGTATGAAGTTTCAGGGCTTAATTATTAAGGACATCATTTTGTGATAAAGAACTTTAGGGCCATCAGTAGTAGAAAAAAAATGAGTCACATTTCACATGTTATCATGATACTTTTGATCATGGATGTTGTTTCCAACAGAAGCCTGACTGCTGAAATCCTCCTAATTTCTAGCTTGTTAAAGATAAACTAACATGTTAAATGATGTAGAAGAAATTTAAACTGGGAGATTTTACAAGATTTTACAATTTGTTTACCTAGCAGGAGTAACATCTTTTGTAGATTGTTAAAACGCCATGTGGCACTGTAGAAGCTGCTCTCTAATGGTAAACAAACTTGAGCAAGAGGAGGTTCCCAGCAGGGAGTTCTTGTAAGGCAGGAGGGGGTCTGTTGTTGTGGAACAAGTGTGTTAACAGGTTGCAGCTGCATCACTCTACTAATGAGGTGTTGCACAGCTTTCACAGGTGCTACCAAGCCTGGCATAAGTCAGGATGAGACTCTTCCTTCTTTAACTTATGGGTGGGCTACTTTGGCAGTTTTTTTAGGCTGTTTTTAGTTCTCTGTGTCAATTGCTGGCAAAGCTTGGTGCTTGTATATAAGCAAGTTCCCTCTTCCTGGTTATGTGGTGTTTGTTTATTTATTTACTTATTTATTTACTGGTCACGAAGACCACATCCTCTGCTGACACCACTTTTTCTGCCAATAGTGCTTACATGCTGTTTCAGGTGTGATGCTTTGTCTTCTTATGAAGCCCAGTTCTCCGAAAGAAGCTTTTGGCTGACTGTCTTAGGTGGGATTGAAAGGATGTTTGTGATCTGCTTATCTATATCTATCCAATAAACACGAGGAAATAACATCTTAAAATCTAATCCAGTGTTAATACAAAAATGCAGGACATAGAGGCAGCTGCCTTGGATACATCTAATTCCACACGCACACCCTGCTATCTGCCAGAAGAATTATAAGTCATTATTTACAACTGAAATACAAGTCTGTGTACAGACATATTTATGTAAAATCCAGCGTAAAGTGTTAAATAAAAGAGCTTATAATAGTCCAATAATACAATTTTATTATTTCAGTGCGTTGTTCAGGCTGGTACCAAAATCACCAATATTACAAAATACAAGTAGTGTTATTTTTTCATACAAGTTTACCTAGACAGCATCTCTGACCAGCTGTGGACCTATTCAGTGGCCACAGAACCCACTGGAAAAACCAGACTCTCCTGCAGAACTCTACTGATGTTACCTGTTAGTAGGTATATACTTAATAAATGTGAGTATGTGTATGTATACACACACATAACGTCTACATGGTCAGCTGTGGGAGAGGACATTCCTTTTAGGAGTGCTGACTAGAGCTCAACACCGTGTTGTGGACTTGAGTAAAAAGCAGCATCAGTTAAACAGAAGAATTCATCAGTCCTCTTATAGTCTTTACCAGGAAGTACAATTCTTGGTCTTACCCAGAAAGATGAACAAGAACACTGAAAACTGAACATCTGCCATTGAGCACAATAATTGCCCAGCATGTGGTGGAGCCATTCCAAGCAGGACGAGGAGCCTGTACCATAACAGTCACTGGTTCTCCAACTTCTCTTGTAGTCTTGGGGGTATTGTGGGTCCTCTGGCAGACTGCCAAGTGCTTGGAGAGAGCGTTTTCTCATGCTGCCAACATTAACTTGGGATTAAAGGTTTGAACTAATATCTAATCATAGTCTTGAGCCAGACAGTCTGGTTAAGATATTGTTGTGTATTTTGTTATTGTTCCTGGGGCGTAAGTAACCTCTAAGTAGGAGTTGATCATGTTTTTAGAGGCTCTCAGACATAATATAAAAATGTGTTTTGCGGGAAGACAGCATATAAAAACTTGCATTTTTGTCAGGTTTCTAATTTATAGGGAACAATGACATGCAATAATCTAATTTATGTCTGTGTACATTATGTCACTGATCAGAAGTAATGGAGTACAAGCAGGTGGCTTTGATTTGTATGTTAGAAATTGTTAGTAGGCTGAGCTAATGGTGAAGTAGCTTTAGCTTGCCAGAGGGAAGCTGCTGATTTAGTGTTGGTAGCATAAGAAGGTAAATCCCAGTCTGATGCTGAGCAGAAAGAGATGGCTAGTGTCCATGAAATCTGTACTTCTGTAGGTTGAAAGATTTATTTTCTTGGTCCTTTATATGATAAGATTCAGGAGGGGAAACTTCATCTTGGAAATTAAGGAAATTAAGGTGTTCAGCTTTGGTTAAGGGTATCACCTCCAAAGGAAGACAGTGATAATTTTGATATTTGGCTATTTAGAGAAAATGTGATTATATCATTATTTGCATTTGGTAATCTTAAATATATGTGAAAAAGGGAAAAAAGTCTACTAGTGAAAATAAATGAAGATAGCTGATTTATTCCAGTTAGTGAAATCTTTCCATCATATGCTAAATACTTTGAATAACAAAGCCCAACAATAAGTTTGTTTTTCAAATCTTTGGGTGCATGGGAGCAGAAGGATACATACTAACATTTGCATGCTTGGGCACATGAATTTTCAGTCACAGTCTATCTAATACCTGCAATCCTTTTAAAATGCACAATTCAGTAACACAAACTGTCTATCTGGTTTTTTTGGTGTTGGTTTGGGGATTTTTTTTTACAGATTCTTCTCCCATGTTTCAGTCTTTTAGTCCATACATCTTATTTCCAGGAAAATCTGGAAATCCTGTAGGCAGGAACACAGGCGACATCATTACCAAAGCAATCTGGTGCTAATAGTGGACAGAGTATGTGAACACATTATGTTGATTGTATTACTTTGAGGTACTCAGGACAATGTTTGTGAGACCTTGGGGGAAAAAAGCAAGGACATGCATTAGTAATGAGATCAGTTTGCTAGGAAAGATTCTGAGGACCACTCTGTGGCAATTAAGAGCAATTTGGAGTGGCAAATATCTTAAATGCTGGCTGACTCCACTTGCAGAATGTAGCCAATAACCAAATAGCAGAATTTCAGAAGCAGCTACATCAAAAACATTCTGCCTTAGTTGGTGACACAAACAGCAGTAATTGCCTGTGTAAAGTATTTTCTTCAGGAGTGAGGTTCATTGATCCCAGTTTTTTCTTCACATCTAAGAAACTGTAATTTCCCCACTGTTCCTGTCTCCTCGTTCAAATTAATTCATCTCCTCCTTGTTCTTCGTGAGTCATAGATTAGTCTTTTTCTTCAAATATTTTGCATTAGTTTTCTGTGGCCGTGTGGGTGAGTGCAAATGACTTCACTTCTTTTGGTAGAATAAATCCTCTACAGCTTTTGTTGCAAATATGCGTTGATCTGTAGTAGGTAGTGTAAGATGAGGCTAATTAAAAGAAGAGGGAAGGAGACAGCACCCCTTCCTTTTGTGAAAATGAGGAATCTCTCTCCTCCTTTCTTGTATCTTTCCAGTACAGTTAATGTTTGGATGCACCTCTTGGTAAGTGGGTATAAAGGGAAAACATGGAGGAGGAGTGCGTAGCATTAAAAATGGATAAAAAAAATGAAATTGTTTAACATGGATGGGATTAATACTTTGGTAGCTTAGACATCAAGGACCTTTCTCTAAATGTAGTACTAAATGATCCTGAAATCATATGAGCATACGCTCACTTGCAATCTTCCTCCCAGTAACATGAAGAATTACAATAATACTCATTAGATTTTTTTCTAGAGTTCAAGTTAGTACAAAATAAATGAGGCTAAATAATAACTCAGTATTAACTCAGAAATGTTCAGCCCAGATGGCTCTGACCTCTGCAGCAGTCCAGGAAGTTCAGGAAATGCAAACCCTATGTTGTTTATGCCGTGGAATGTACTTAAGGCCCTTGGTTATCTGCTGGAGTTGTGAGGTAGTCTGTGGAAAAGAAGCTTTTTGAATTGTTTTTAATGAGTTATCTCCACAGATGAGTAGGGCAATGCATGAAGAGGCCTGAGTTTCCCTAGCTTTACTAAATAACTGTTTTCTTTCTAGATCCCAACCTATGGGGAAGTGCACATAAGAAGAGGATAAATATGGCTTTTAAGGGCAAGGATCACTTAGATTCCCTTTCATTACCAGTTCAGCGGTAAGTGGTGCATTCTATCATCCAACTTTGAGTGATTAAATGCCTCTGAGGCTGCAGCTGCACTTTCCTTCGAGGACCCAAGGATGTTTAAAATCTCATTTTTAAACTCAGTAATAGGTAATGTTCCTACAAAATGTTGAGAATGAATGTGGAAATCTGAGATGTATTTCTTGAGACATTTGCAAATTTGTGTACTGAAGTCTGGTAAATCATGACAGTGAAGATGCAGCCATCATTTTTAAAGGATGACCATGTTTACAGTAGAGATGTGATTGTGTTTACTGGATCAATTCTTTGTCGTGATGGAAATCCCTGGAACTTGCTGCTCTCTGTGAATACTGCTGAAAACTGTAAATATGAATCTTTTTAACTTGGTTGACTTTCTTCTGGTGTAGATATGGAGGTATGGTAATAATACAAAGGCTATAGTACAATCTCTCCAATCTGTGTTGCCCATTTGGGAGCAGAGACAGTGGTGATTCTGTTAATCAACAGATTAAGAAAAATAAAATTTATCTGTTGGTTGGCATCTAGTAGCTGTATCTGAGTAATATAGTTCTGTTTCTAGCATAATGGATGTTCCATGAAAAGGAAAAAAAATGAATACAGTAGCCTACAGTCTTCATATGTGGCACAACTGGGGTGGTTTTGTTTTTATTTTGGGAAAGGGAGGATAGGTGGGGCTGTTGAATGCAGGAATAAAATCAGAAATTAAAAGGTTTTGAATTTCAGTCTTTCTTCCCATCTCCTTTCTTCAGTTCACACTGCAATTGTATATCAGGAACCAGTTAATTATGATAAAGAAGCTCAAAATGTGATGTTCTTCTTTGTTAGTAATTTGATATTTCTCTACCTGTCCCTACCTGAGTCTTCCTGCAGATACTTCGGTAATGCCATTAAGCTCACAATCACAGTAAAACCATGTGAATATATTCTCCTTTAGAAGAAACACTATATGGAGGAACATAGTTTGGGGATACCAGATTCCAGGACAACTGTTACTGTTCATTAGATGTTAGCTTAAACTTGCTTTGGAAATAAGTGAGTCCTAGAATCCTGAAGAGCCAAACATAGAGTGGACTAGCATAAATAGCAATGAGGTGTCCTATTTTACTTATTAGTTTAGTTTTGTTCTGTGGGATGAAGCCATGGAAGATCAGTTCAGATGCAGACAGTAGTGAAGGCAGGCCAATGACTTTGCTATGGAAATTCTCAGGCTAACCAAGAGGTCAGATAAAGTGCCAGACATCCAGGATAATTTCTTGGTGATAACTAATGGGTTTCACAAGCTGAATCCTGGATCAAAAGCCAAAGAAGCTATTATAGTCAACTGGGGCAGTGAGAGACTCTTATAGTAGTAGAAAACTATCTGCATAGGCCCTGTGGGTGGCCAAGGGCTGATCCAGGCTGGTGGTGGCAAGATTGTTTGCCCATACGTAAATGGGGAAATTAGCTGGAGGCTCTCTGTGCTAGCAAATGGAAATGTGGAGGAGGAATAATGCACTTAAAGGTGACAGCAGCACAGAACTGAAGAACACTGAATTTTGTAGGCTAGCGACTTCTAGAAAAGGAAACTGCCTGTGTGCAGTGTTCAGGGAAGAAAAGCTCTGCCATGCTATGCAAACAAAGCCACACCATCTCACAAGGACTCTGCACTAAGATGTAGCTTAGCACAAGAAGTGACTTGGAGAAGTCCCATGTCGCAAGCATTATGTTCTGACAAACAGCTCGACTCAGCAGGGCAATTCTCTGTAGCGAGATTTGAAAAGAAATAAATGTTCTCCCCCACCCCTAATAAAATATGAAGCTCTTATTTTTGGTGTCTCTTTTGAAAGAGAATCCTTTTTTCTGCCAATGAGGATTATTTCAGATAAAACCCTTGTAACAAATGGGGAGACTGAAGTTGACAGTGGCCGGAGAGGTGAAGACACAGAGAAGACCAGAACTGAAAAAAATCTGTTTTTTACCCTAAGAATTCGGCAGAAAGAACACAGTATTGGGTAGATAATAAAGTTCAGGAGTTGTACAAAGTGTTTTTCTTGATTATTAAAAAACCCAACAAAACCCACTCCACATAACAGCTTTTCCAAAGAAATGGAATTTTTATGAGATTAGGCTTTTTGTCTGGGTTAGAAAAAGGAGTGATATGGCCCCTGTTTAAAGAGGATTTAAAAAAATTTAATTTTCAAATAACAAAATTCAAGTATTTTTAATTCATTATTGTTCCTATATCCAAGCCTAGGATATATTCCTGTCTCAGGATTCCAGTTCATGCTCCTGCTTTTTGAGAAAAGGGGCTTGAATTCACCTGAGGGTCTGTGCTGTTGTGTCCTGTCACAGCGAGAATCTAACACAAATTCAACTGAGGGTCAGTCCTGTGGAGCACCACAACTGTGTCTTGCCTCACATTTAGGTCAGAATATTTCAGAAGTAAAAACATCCTCAAGCAAGTATATCTGTATCCATAGGAAAAGTGTACCATACGTGTGGAAACAGATTCCAGGTGTTTCCACAGCAATCATTAAAGTCAAAAGTTATTGTGGCTGTGTAAGGAATTTAGAACCGGGGCCTTAAACCAAGTTTTGGTGCTGCATGAACTGTTGTTTACACTCTTTCCTCAGATTTTATGGGAAATTACGGCTTGTATTTGAAAGTCTCTGGAGTACTGAGTCACTGTGTTAATGGTTTTCTAACACACTGGCAGACCTACTTTCTGTAATTGATATCTAGACTCCTATAGATGCAGTATTTAAAAGTATCCTGAGGAAAAATACAAATTATTGTTACAGAAACTTTATTTTCTATTTCAGTGAGTTAGGAACTTACTGATGGTTTTGTCTCCTAGGAGAGAAAACAACTGGCAATAGGTCATTTTTATAAAGAACTAATCTAGTTATTCTCCAAAAGCTGTTAGTCCTATGTAAAGCATTTTACATGGTCATAAAAGTTACCTGTTTTCATCAGTGATAACCAGTTCACTACAGCATATGAAGTGTAAGTGTATTCCTTAGAGGTGCACACATCCCCATTCTGAAGTAGCTATTTTTAGTATAGCTTTTGGAAAATGTCATTACCCTTTCCTTGTATCTTTATATTGGTATTGCTTTTCCGTATTTCTGGTAAGCTTTTACCTTGGCTTTTCTATCTGGAATAAAACCTGTTATGTCCCTGCCCCTCTTCCCATGTAACAAAAATTCATTGAACTTTCTGTTTTCTGTAAATTAAAGTTGTAAACTACGAAGGCTTTTTTTCATTAAGGACATGGTTTCTTATACTTTCCATATTGGATGGTAAACTCAACGCTTGGAATGCTGAATCTAAAGTCATTCAATAAAAGAGAGAATACTCATAACCACAAGTGAAACAGGATGCTGTTTTTGCTTCTTGAATTATGTGTTCTGCTCAGTGTTGCAACTGTAAGAAACACAGTATAATTAGACACTTTTTGAAAATAAATGAGGGTCTTGTAGGGAAATTAGGTAAAAAACCCATCACCAACTCCCCCCCCCATTCCAAAGCCAAGTGAAACCAAAATGAAGCAAACAAAAACAAGCTGAAGAAAGACATAATCTTGCTGAAAGAACTTGAAATATGGGCTACTCTTGAAGTGGGCAGAGAATTTATCTTTCTAATCTCCAGAAATGCAACACTGCCGGTCTGTTTAATCCATTGTCTAAATAATGTTTACAGCTTCAAAAATTAAAGATGTTACTGGAGGTTATAACTTAAACTAACATACAAACAAAGGGTAATGTTAATCATTTAAATGGGATGTTTTATTGTTGTTTACACAAGGTCAATACTTTGAGGACCAGGAAGATGCTTATATTTGGTATTAATTGATGTTTTGACAGATGATATTTGTCAAAAGTTGAAAGTTGTGACTTGAAATAGAAGCAAGAGAAATTCCGGATTTTTGTACTGCAGGAACTGCATTTATTCTACTTGTTTCTCTGTCAAATCAGGATGACAAACTTGTAGAACTTCATGGAACATATGGACCGATGAGATGAAAAATATGGAAGTCTATAATTTATTTTTTTTTTCATAATGGAAATTACTTTTCTCATCCAAAAAAACCCCAACACTTGACAAAATAGTCCCAGTAATGAATATGTGGGTTTAAAAAAAAAAACAACAAAAAACCAAAAAAACAAACCCAAACGTAAAAAGAAGAAAAAAACCCCAACTTTGTAAAGTAAGATAATTTCTACCTGTATGGGAACTGAACTATTTCAGGGACCATTCACATCACATTTTACTTCTGTTTCTGGAACTTTATGTGGACTCCGTGCTGCTGGAAAGACATGTTTTGAAAAACTGACTTTGAGGTATAAGACACATGAAGAACCTTTCAACGTATTTGATACATGTTCAGACGGGGCTGTCAGGAAAACAATGGATCTGTTGGTTTCTATCCCTAGAGCGTCTAATATTTCTCAAATACTGAGTGATTTAATCCTAAGAATCAAAGCAGGGAAGTTATGTTATTCTATCTAGAAAATTACTCTTGACCAGAACTGCACAAGTAAGGTAGGTTGGCTTTTTTTTCAACTAGCCAATGGTGTCTTGCCCCTTGTATTCTGTAGGCCATGGGAATCTGTAGGTTTTGATGCTATCTCTTTTTCTGGCCCTGAAATTTGGGCAGCAAGTCATTTCGTTGCATGTCAGTTCATTGCAACATTTCCTGTTTGGTTATCTACCTGTTTTCTTAGATGTGAAACCCTCAAGTGAATGACTTCTAGGGGTTTGACTTCTGTGAGTTAACCTGAATAAGGGTTATTCTCTTATATCTCACTCTGGTCTATTCCTTTTTTAACCTCAGTTCCTACCTTTCTACTTTGAATCTGCATGATTTCTGTAGTTTGTTACCATCTTTGTTCTCCCAAGATTTGCCTCATTTTTTCTTTTTTTTTTTTTTTTCAATAACACTTTAAGTCTTCAAGACTGTGCTTGGATTATAATTAATCATAAAATCATGTTTAAGTACAAGTGTTTAA